ATCTCCCCCCATCTTGATCAACTGATCAAACCGGCTGCATCTAAAGACTGCCTACGTATCCTCTTGCCCAAGGAATCAAGCCGAACGTAGTTCACCCAAATGGCCGCCAACGGCCTCAGCACTGAAGGATGTTCAACAACTTCAAACAATGACCAAATTTCACTCCTGAAACAACTTTGGTCAACATATCTGCAGGATTGTCATTTGTGTGGACCTTCTCCAATATGACATCTCCATCATCCAAGACGTCCCATACAAAGTGGAATCTGACGTCGATGTGCTTCGTGCGAGCATGATAAACCTGGTTCTTTGCCAAATAGATAGCCAACATACTATCACAATATATCCGAATAGTCTCCTGAGCAATCCCCAAGTCCTCCAATAATCCACGCAACCATAAAGCCTCCTTAATAGCTTCAGTAACTGCCATATACTCTGCCTCTATAGTAGAGAGAGCCACTGTGGACTGAAGCGTGCAACGCCAACATACAGGTGCACCTGCCAATGTAAAAGCATAACCTGACGTAGACCGACGTTTGTCAAGATCTCCAGCATAGTCTGAATCCACATATCCAATACAAGCCTGCCCATCCTTCTCATCCTTCTGAAATACTAAACCAACATCCACGGTGCCTCGAACATACCGTAGAATCCACTTCACGGCCTCCCAGTGACCCTTCCCGGGGTCGTGCATGTATCTCGATACCATACTCACGGCCTGTGACAAATCTGGCCTCGTACACACCATCGCATACATCAAGCTACCTACTGCACTAGCATATGGGACCTTCGACATATAATTTCTGTCCTCAACTGAAACAGGTGACATCAACGCTGAAAGCTTAAAGTGGGGAGCCAATGGTGTGCTAACTGCTTTTGCATTTCCATCAAAGCTGAATTTCTTCAATATCTTCTGCAAGTAGCTCTTCTGAGTAAGCTTCAAACTCCCTCTCACCCTGTCTCTCTCGATCTCCATACCCAATATCTTCTTTGCCTCTCCAAGATCCTTCATCTCAAACTCGGATGATAACTCCTCTTTTAGCTTTCGAATAGCTGAAGAATTCCTGGAAGCAATAAGCATATCATCAACATATAAAAGCAAATATATGAGCTCACCATCCTGTAGCTTGTGCATATAAACACATGGGTCATATGGGCTCCTCGTGTACCCTCGGCCAATCATAAAGCCGTCGAATCTCTTATACCACTGTCTTGGTGACTGCTTCAAACCATAAAGAGACTTCTTCAGCTTACAAACCAAATTTTCCTTTCCTGCAGCTTTGAAACCCTGTGGTTGTGTCATGTAGATCTCCTCATCTAAATCACCGTGTAGAAAGGCTGTCTTCACATCCATCTGGACCAAATCCAAATCCAACTGTGCCACCAATGCCAATAAAATCCGAATCGACGAATGCTTCACAACGGGTGAAAATACCTCGTTGTAATCAATGCCCTCAAGCTGTGTATACCCACTTGCAACTAATCTGGCTTTGAACCGAATGTCCCCAATAGAAGATCCCTCCTTCTTCGCATATACCCACTTGCAACCAATAGCTTTCTTACCCTTAGGTAGATGTGCAAGTGTCCAAGTGTCGTTCTTCTGAAGAGACCGCATCTCCTCCTCCATAGCTTCCCTCCATATAGGTAGTTTTCCCTGACACCTCGCATCACCACCATAGAACCCTTCGTGACCTTCACTGTAGCATCCTCTAAGATCACTCGATATCCTGCTGCCTCCAAAGTCCCAAGAGAAATGATGTTCTTCGTCAACTGCGGCACGAACCTCACTTCCTTCAATTCCCTCACTACACCATCATGCATCCTGATCCGGACTGAACCAATACCACCAATAGGGCATACGTGATCATTACCCATAAGCACGACATCCCCTCTTTCCAGCTCCTCAAAGCTAGAAAACCACTCCCTCTTAGGGCAGATGTGATATGTAGCTCCCGAATCCATCATCCACTCCGTGGAATCCGCATAGCAAACCGACGGTAAAGCAGGGCATGAATAGCCTGAAGAATCTGTATCTGAATGCTCACCAATAGCTTTTGCAACATTCACTTCTGAAGCTTGTGCAGCTTTCCCCTTATTCTTTCCGGCTTTTTCTTTCCACTTTGGGCAGTCAATCTTCCAATGTCCTTCTTCTTTACAATACCGACATTGATTTCTACCAACACTCTTATAGGCACTCCTATTCTTTGACTTTGAGCGGTTGAACTGACGACGGTTTGGATCTCGGCCTCGAACTGCTAACGCATCTCCCGATGCCTTCTCGGAGGGTTCACCATCACTCTTCCTTAACTCATAGTTCACCAAAGCTGAGGTTACCTCCTTGTAGCTAACTGTAGTTCTTCCATTGATCATAGTGAGAACGAACGTACCATAATCATCTTCGGGCAACGAACACAGAAGTAGCATCGCCTTGTCTTCATCCTCAACTATAATATCAACATTGGCCATATCTGAAAGTAGCTTAGTGAAATTGTTGACATGCTCCCTGATGGAAACCCCTCTTTTCATCTTGAACTGGTAAAATCTCTTCTTCAAGTGAAGCCGATTCTCAATGCTCTTCGTAAGATATTTCTCATTGAGTGTTTCCCACATCTTCTTCGCCGACGTCTCGTTCATAACATCATAAATAAGATCCGGCGTCAAGCATGACCTAATAACACCACAAGCTCTACTGTTCATCTTTCTCCAAATCTTATCCTCCAACTCAGTGGGTTTCTCTTTTAACTCAAGAGTCTCCTCCAAATTCTATGCATCCAAAGCATCCATCACCTGACACCTCCACAATCCAAAATTGATCTTGCCATCGAACTTCGGAACATCAATCTTCGTGTTATTGATGCTCAGACTCTGTATCGCCTTTGTTAGAGACGAACCTGACGTGCTTGCATCTCCCATGTTGTCGATCTAGCTCTGATACCAATTGTTGTGCGCGGCGGAAGCTTTCTAGGGCAACACGAACAATAACTCGAACTAAACCACAAACAATATGCAAACCACAATCACAGCAAGAACACACAATTTACGTGGTTCGGCAAGTTGCCTACGTCCACGGGGCAAGGAGGGGGGAGTTCTTTCTACTAGAAATCAAGAGAATACAAATAGGGTTACAAATCTCTCAGACCAAACCCTAAAACAAAGCTCTAGATCTCTCAAAGCTCTCTCACAATTGGATGCAATGATTCTCTCTCTTTGGCTGCTCAAATTCGTCCAACCTCTACCCTAAACAAACAGGTTTAGGTATATATAGAACTTACAAAACGAATCGGGTCGAAAACCTGAAAGCCCAGCCCAAAACAGCGTCGGTCGACCGGACCGGTCGACCGCGATCAATTCCGGTCGACCGGCCCGGTCGACCGATCACCATCCAGCAGAAGCCCCAAAAATCCAGAGAGACCGTCGGTCGACCGCACCGGTCGACCGAATCATCTGCGGTCGACCGGGCCGGTCGACCGACCTCCTTCCAGACGCACAGGAACCCTTGTGCACGAATCCGGTCGACCGGACCGGTCGACCGCCGCCTGTTTTTCCTGATTCTGCTGCTGATGCTGAAATTCCTTCACTACTAGAGTATGACTCTTAAGCTGTTTGTCAGTCATCGTCAATGTAGGCTGTTCAAGAATAACTCTCTCCCTTTCAAATATACCTTCGGCTAGAAATTTCCAATACTTTTCTCAAAGAGGTAATGGATTGATTACTTCACAAAACAAAAGAATTTTAGAGAATAGATTTCTCATTTGTTGTCCTGTTGAGATAAAAGACGCTTCTTCTAGTATAAATTTTCATTCTTTATCATCGTCTAATAATCATCAAGCTTGACATGTTTCCTAATACGCTTCGTATACAATTCCATCTTTGGTTCTTATTTGAGCATAAGACGTAGGGCCTTTGATGATATTAAGCAACAAACGATGATAAAATCGCTCTCTAGAAGTTGGATGCGAATAAACAACCTGACCAATACTCCATCCAATTTTTTTTGGTTTCTAAACTTTTCAGTCTAACTTCCAAACAAAGCTAGATGAGAATTTAGCATATGTTGAGTGTTTGTGCTTCAGGGTATATTTTGTTTGCCTCCATCTACAAATTGAATTTTGATTTTTTTTTTTTAGCATAAAGGTCATCAACAATTTCATTCAGATTTGTCAGTGTCTTTGAACAGAATAGATTCTTCATCAGGTAGGTGGTAAGGGTGAGGAAAGGGAATTTTAAAATTACTAATTGACCTTGTTGATAATGGTGACTAATTATTTTCATTGGTGAACTTGTCGGTGTCCTATTATCGCGTGCGTGTTGCAGAGTCAGAGTCTTGGTGGCGTGGTCCAAGTCCTGCCCTTTGTGTGAGGAAAGGGAATTTTAAAATTACTAATTGACCTTGTTGATAATGGTGACTAATTATTTTCATTGGTGAACTTGTCGGTGTCCTATTATCGCGTGCGTGTTGCAGAGTCAGAGTCTTGGTGGCGTGGTCCAAGTCCTGCCCTTTGTGCCACGGGGCTTGCAAATTGCAATGAATTTCTTGATGTAGCAGTTTATCAAGTTCATAGATCAATGTTACGTAAGAGCAAGTAGATTAAATATGAAGTTTCATACGTTCCCTTTTCTTTTGGGAGTACTTGTTTCCATGTCATTCATACGTTATAACATGGGTAAATCGCATATGATCTCCTTCATCTATTTTATTACCGATCTCAACTATTTAATTTATTAGCACTTATCACTGATCTCAACTATTTTATTAACACTTAGCATTTAACATCACCGAATTCATAAAAAAAAGAAGTGTTTATCCGAAATTTAAGCCTGTGAATCTAGTCGGAATAAGATATAGTTGAGAAAGGTTGTTTTCAATTTACGCTTGAAGCATTTTTTAAATTATATTTCATACGCTTCCTTGTTATGTTTTACTAGCCCTAGCAAATTCAGAGAGAAATCAGTCATTTTGTTTAACAAGAATTGAATATATCCCCTATTTGACTTTCTTGACATCACAACTCTTTATGATATACAAAACTTGCTTACATGTTTGAGAGCCAGTGACTCCAAAATTTATTAATATAAAAAATGTACAATAACACAACATATTGAATTTCAGGCTCAGCGCCTTCTCTAACAAAAAAGCAGAACATAGTGAAAGATAAAACCAAGCTCTATATATACAAGCGACCCCCAGTTAAAAGAATATGAAATCTTAGTTCATCAATTTCCGAAGAGAAAGAATTCATCCTCATCAAAACTAAACATTTCATCATCATAATCATTTGAAAGAGGGGGAACTTCATCCACATACTCCAAGGGATCTAAGTCGAGATCTCCATAATAATCTGAAGCCATTCCCATATTGAGCATAAACCCTTCATCAATTTCAGGATTTGGGTTCATCATAGTATTTTCGGACATTGGACTATCCGGTTTCATATCACTGAGAATTCCTGAGGTTAATATAGGGGAGTTTTGAGCAACATTAATGTTATAATCACTTGATTCAAAGCTAATCATGGATTGATTTTTAAGACCACAATGAGAGCTTTGGCCTTGATCAGTAGCATCCCGTTTGCATGTGTGTTGGCCAATATAAGTGATTATAAACATAGAATTATCATCTTCTGCTATTTGGACGTGCCTTTTTGCATTGCAGCCTGGATCTCCTTTGTGTGAGCAACAGAAATAGCTCCTGGATGTTTGTAAACAATTAGCGATAACGTGTCCAATTGAGACTTACAAATATCAAAGACTAAACAGCATAAAATATATAAAGGGTTTTTTTAATCCCTCATAAAAACCACCTTTGAAATAAGTTGAACTGAAAAAATAACCCACCTTAGAAGTTTTTTTTACATGTATAAACCTCATAACTATCTTTAGTTTTCAATCGACCACTTTTTGTCAAATTATGCTCCATTAATATCCTAAATATCCAACCGACCCTCATTAATCACAAATGTCTGACACATGTTTCCCAAGTCACGTGTAATTAATGAGGATAGTTTGGACAATTGAGGTATTAAAAGTGAAAAGAGAAAGAAGCGGAAATAATAAAATATAAAAAAGTGAGGATAGTTTGGATACACTAAAATAGCTACCTTGAAATAAAAGAACTAAAGAGCAAGCACTCTTCAATTCAAATAGCTAGTAATAGAGATGGAAAGGGTGAAGTAAATAAATGACCTTCTATGTGTAAAGCCTTTGATTGCTTTCTCCCCATATTTGTTCCATTTGTATCCATCATCTTTACTCCTTGATTTCACTTGTCTACACGGAGACAACACTATTCTGCAAGAAACATAGTACTTTACTATACAATACTAGATACGAGGAATAAGAGCAGCTTATTAGAGGCTTTGATAAAAGATGTGGCTTTTATTAGAAGGTCATGATTGTCAGAGCAACTTTCCATCATACATTGATAAAGGATCCAAGAGACCCACCAACATACTTTACATGCTTAGAAGTTGTATATTTCAACATTTAATATGGTTGTTTGTTTATTTGGGAAATGATCATTGACTTGGGCTAGACCTCGTGCTTCTCACAATGAATCACTTTATAGATATTTAGGCAAATTTACATCAAAATTCGAAGTCAAACAACCTAATTAAGTGGAGTAAGATTTTGATTTGGACAAGATTCTGTCAAAAGATCGATACACGTGCATAAAACAAAGATATTGTGTGTGTTTGGGGAAATATCAAATGATTCACAATCCATGACATTAAATGTTCACCTAACAGATGTCAATTTTTAATTTCATTGGATTTTAAGATTCATGCATGAATCTAATTGTTGATATCGCTATAGTGAACCAAATATGTTAGAAACTTTAATTCTTGTATGTTTGACAAACAAAAAGTAAATAAAAAGTAACATGTAAAGATCTTCTATTTGCAAAGCTTAGTTAAACAATATAAAGTGAAGGAAAATATGAAAAGTTGATATGACAGCTAATGTACTGTACACTTTATCATATGTCATGTTTCATTATTATGGGAACTGAATGCTAAAAAAGGAAAGTATAAGATAATATGCAATTTCAATTCACTTTTTCAGAAAGTGAAAGAGACTAAAAAAATTGAAAAAAAATTAAAAGTTTCTTTTTAATTTTCGATTCACTTTTCGTTTACTTTCAGACTCTCAATCATGCGGAAACGTGAAGAAGAAACAGATTAATTTACTAGAAAGCGCCTTACCTCTTTCCATGTTTCCCTCTCTTGCAGTCCTCTGCCAAATTCTCAATCTCCACTTTTCCAGCAGAATTCTGATCCTCTCTCACATCAGAGCTCGACGAGCCAACTGCAACAACATTCGCAGCATCCAAAAGAGCAAGACTCTTTGACAACGAGCCCACGATTTGATCAACAAAGTGGGCTATCTCCGTGTCTTTTAGCTTGTTTCCAAGCAAAGCAGCAGCAAGTCTTCCTCTCATCAGCTCATCTCGAATCGCCTTCTTAGGATCCAAAGGACCGCAACAGTTTTCACAAGGAGATGCCATTACTGCAAAATCTCAAATTTGATGAGACACCAAATACTTAGCCAACAAATTAACCAAAAGGAGAGAAAGGGGATATATGCATGGAATCTTGGATATATAGGCACTGTTGTGTTACTACCACTCCTCTATTTTTATGTTTCAGTCGGGATTAGAGATTATTTTAATGGAATCCTTGTCAGCATTGCAAGACTTCAAAGCTTGCTTCAGTCGTCGTGGTGTCGCCGTCATTTTTAATAAAGAACCGCCTTTGACGGCCGGCTAAAGTCTAGTTGGCAGTTTAGCAAGGTAACAAATATTGCAACAGCAAATAGTGCGCTTTCCAGGATCGTATTGCATAAAATCAACTTTCAAACTAATTGTTTGGATATATGTGATTTTCCCATGGAAAATATATTCTAAATGTCAAGTTATGCCTGGATTGAAAAACAGTTAACACAAAAGCTACATAGCTTGAAGTTAGAAAGATTTTTGATGATGTGTTATTGTTTTCTTATTTATTAATTGCCTTTTAATTAAAGAAGTTGCAACATTTTTTTTGATGTAAAAATAGGGCAAAATGTCCTATCATAGATAAGTATATAAGAGCAAAAGAGAGAGTATTACAAATGTAGATATCTACTGGTGATTGGAGCAACAACTCCGAGATGGAGTAAAAAAAACCAATCACGAGTAGATGTCTGGAAGATATATACAAAAACTAACACGATGCTATGAATAGCTAAAAAACAAAAGAATCAAAAGAGTTAGGAACCGCAGCTCAAGGATGTCCGTTGCTGTCCTCGCTGGATTCGATGATGTCCGCAAGCCCAGAGGAACGAATGATGCTCTTTAGCTTTATAGCCTTCTTGGAGGAAGAAGCACCTGCCTAGAAAAGAATAAAGTAAGCTACCTTGGAGATGATTTGTTGAGAAGTGGTGGTGGAGTTTGAAAAGATGCGATCATTGCGAGCTTTCCAAAGGATCCAACAGGCAACTGGAAAACATGTGCCCCAAAGAAGACGCACAGAAGCATGGACGGAGTTGTCAGAGCATAAAGCTAAGCACATAGGAATGTCAGGAGGAATGGCACTAATGCCAATCCTCGGCAAGAGCTGGGGCCAAATTTGGCTGGCGAGGTTACATGAGAGGAACATATGGTTATGTGATTCTTCTGCATTACAAAATACACAAGAAGTGTCATGTAACCAATCCTGGAAGGCTAATCTGTCCTTAGTCTTCAATCAGCTCATACTCAGTAACCAGAAAAAAAACTAAACTTTGCTAGGCAATAAGCTATTCCAAACTATGGAAGTGTGAGGGTATCGGGTTCCCCCATCAGCCAAGAAAGAGTATAGGGATTTAACTTGAGAAAGACTTAGAAACAGTGAGAGACCATGAAGGCTTGTCGACAGAAGAGGAGGGAGAGGTTGATGTCGGTCAGGAGCTGGTTAAGGGCTTGGACTTGCCTTCTCGTAGTCTCATGAGTAGGCCTCCTAATGATAGGTCTCCAAGACCATCCCACCCTAAGAAATTTGCCTTGGGATTCAACAGAAGTGTGTTTGGAGAAGGCAAGGAGGTAGGCCAACGTGAAAAGACTAGCCAAGGAGTTGTCACCTATCCATTTATCCTTGTAAGCTATCTAAAAATTACTGTAGATAGTTGATCCCCATCAAACACCGAGAATAAAAGTTACAATTTGACAGCTTCTAGAATGTTACAATTTAAAAAAACTTTCACGTAGATCGATGAAGGTTACAATCTGACAACCTTCACAACAACCGATGAAAGCTCTAATTCAACAATCTTCACAATCAACATCGGGAGTTACAATCTGTTGACTCTCATATTTTTAAGGAGCCAAGACGAAGGTTACAAGATAATAATCTTTGCAACGCTCTAGCAAAAAAGACTACAAATTAACGGTTTCTTCAAATCAAAACGTAAGTGGCCTCGTTCCAGAGTCAAAGTAATACAAACGCAGCTCAAACCTGGCCGTAAACACAGCTCACATTCAACTTCAAATGCTGCAAACGCAGCTCAGATCCAACTGTCAATGCATATCATGTTCGGCCACAAACGCAGCCTCCGAACGCTACAGACGCAGCTGAGATTGAGCTGCCAACGCAGCTTCCAAGCACTACCAAACGCAGCTTCCAAGCTACTAACGCAGCTTCCAATTGCTACCAAATAAGCTTCCAAGCTGCCAACGTAACTTCCAAACCACTACAAATGCAGCTTCTAGACGCTGTGTCTGAGCTTCCAGATACTGCGTTTGAGCTTCCAAATGCTGCGTTTGAACGTAGAATTTATGTCAGAACGTATTTCTTGTGTTTGACTCGTTCAAACATGATCTGAACAGTTTCAAAACCGTTTCCTACGATTTGAGGGGATCACAACTCCACTCAGGAGTGATTTAAGGGGCGGTTACATCCTATAAGCCTCACAAAGAAGCAATTTTAGGGGCGGTTACACCCCCAATAGCCTATATATAGCTAAAAGATCATCTTAGTTCGGATCTTTGGATCTTTGAGCATTTTCACATCTATAAATCAGCAAAGAGCTTGGAGCGTTCTTTAGCAACCGAGATCAAGGAGCTTTGATACTTGACTTATTAACTGAATTTCGGTTCAAATCAACTCTTTACAGAGTTTAAACTCGCACGGAGTTCTTAAACTCATTAAGAGTTATTTTTAAACTTGCCACACAAGTTTTATTAACTCTAATCCAGCGAGGTAAAACGTCGGATCATCAATGAGAAGCAAACTCGACACTAACATCGAGGGAGGCATCTCCTCGCCACCGTGAAGAACCCAGTTTTTTAAACAAAAGGGAGGATCTCCGTCGATCATCTTCTCTTTTATAAATTAGGATTTCGATTGAGAAGATCGTAATTTCTTTTTCTAAAGTTTGTTAGAGAGAAATTGTATTGAGGACGTTGTAATCATTCTTTATCTAAGTCAGTTAGAGAAAATAACACATTTTTGTTCTTAATTTTCTTCTTCCAAATTTCCCACCAAACAATCCTCCCAAAATTGAATCCTAGAACCATTGCCCAAAGACCATTTGACAAAGGATGAGAAGTAG